TTCTTCTCAATATTTTATTAAGAACATATTCAAGCATATAGCATACTTTAATAGTTCACAGTAAACACCCTATATACGCTATCTAAATTCTACCATTTACACTGCACTGTACTTCTTTATCACAAATCTGTGTCTTCATCCCTTTAACTGTCAACCCATCTTATCTTGACACATTTTGAAGTAAATCACAGACATCAGCATGATATTACGCGATTTTCAAAATGCATTTGTGCAGTGTTATTTTTGTCCCTCCAACTCTAAATTCCCCACCCATTGTTTTCTTGGACAATTCTTCAAATTTATAGTTGTTTATGATAAGTGACAGTTGTACACTTTTGTTTTTTTAAAAATGTGTTTAAATATTTTTTCAGAGAGAGAGCACACGGTGGGGAGGGGCAGAGTGAGAGGAGAATCTGAAGCGGGCTCTGTGCTGACAGGCTGAGAGAAGAGAGCTTGATGTGGGGCTTGAATTCATGTACCACAACATCATGACCTGATCTAACATCAGATGCTCAACTGACTGAGCCACACGGGCACTCCGACAATTGTACACTTTTAATTGCATAATCTAAATAATAGCAGCCAAAAAATTAAAAATCAATTAATTAATTAAATTTTAACTAGTAAAAAATAATTTTAGTAAAATAACAAAAACACTCAGCAAATGAAAGCATTCATTACATTTTAGTCCATAGATTTTAAAAAATATTTCATTTTCCAAAAGTAAGTTACATATACATACAATTTTTGCCATAATTGGTAGTAATCTAAAGCATGGAATAATTTGATATGACTGACAGTTTATAAATAAATATTTAGCAAAAATAGTATTTATTATCATATTCCCAATATCATTTGCTTACATAGTCTCACAAAAGAGAAGAAATGATAAACATAGTTTCAAAAACAATGACATAAAATTCCATGTTATTTGAAGAAAAAATTATCTTACCTAGAAAGATTGGCTTCCTTATGAGTTAGATTAACACAAAAGATATCAAAATGACATGATTTCTACTCACAGTATTTTGAGAAATGTTTTGAAGGTTATGTGTTGAGATGTTTCCATGTACTTTAATAAGTACATTGTAAAACTTTTATAATCTTGGAGAATAATTTGTGAGTGTTTTCTTAAAATCATTAATTTTGTAGAAAGAGTTTAAAGTTAAATATTTTTAATGTATATTTATTTATTTTGAGAGAGAGAGGGAAGCAGAGACAGAGAGGGATACAGAGAGAATCCCAAGCAGGCTCTGAGCTGACGGTGCAGAGCCCAATGCAGAGCTCGATCGCATGAACATGAGATCATGATCTGAATCAAAATCAAGAGTTGGACACTTAACCAACTGAGCCACCGTGTGCCCCCAAAATTTATTTTTAAGTTAAACATAAAGTACACATTGGTGAATAAAGATGTGAAGAAAATAAGTTATTACCTCACTTGTCCCAGCCTGAAGTAAATAAAGCAAAACTAAATAAATATGTTATTGAGAAATTTAAAATCCTATAATGCAGTTTATCTTTATGTGCCACTTATTGTTTATCTAATTTTTATACAAGTTGAATGCCCTATAGTATAAGAATATGAGCTCAATAGTTAAAGAACTC